AACTGGTTTTATTGCTTGAGGAATTTGACTGAGATGTGTTGAGAGACGAACACTTGAGCTCAAAATCTGCTTAGGTTTATTCGATAATCGTGCAGATTTAAAGCAGATTAAAGTGGATACGAAGACAGTAGAATAGACGGCATATAGTCTGAGACTGTTTTTTTAAACGCGTTGTGCCAGGTTCCGACAAAAAAAGTCCCCTAATAGTGGCGTGTCCCAGATTTTTTTTCAATTTTCAAACGTAATAAAGCCATCAAAACATACAAATAAATATAAATTACATATGGCAACTGTCAACTCACTACAGTTTCTCGAAAGACAAGTCTTTCGTAAGGCAATGGTCAATTTTGGCAACTATCTTGACACCTCTTTACTGTATTTCGAAAAACTAATAAGTTTTTTAAAAATTAAATTAAATTAAAAAAAATATATAAATATTTTTCTTAAAATTAAATTAAATCTAAAAAATAAAAGAAAACTAAATTAAAAAGGCAAAAAATCAAATGAAAATAATGCAAAAATATATAATATATATATATAATTTTTTTTCTTTTTAAAGCAATAAAATCTTAAAATTAAATTAGAAAAAAATAAATTGAAAAAGAAGAAAATAGTACTTAAAAATTAAATATAATTGAAAAAAAAACATTTTATTTTTAAAACTAAATCTAAAAATTAGAAGCAAATCAAATTAAAAAAAAGACAAAAAAATAAAATTGAATATATCTCTTTCACTTTTTGAAACAATAAAATAAAAGTTACATTTTCTCGTTAACAAAAGAAAACAAATTGGATTAAAAAAAGAAGAAATAAATAAGATAAGTTTCTAAAACTTAAATGAAAAAATACTTTTCCTTCTAAACAATAAGACCTAAAAATTAAAAGAAAATGTATCTAAAAAAGAAAAACAATTTAATTGAAAGCAGAAAAAAGTAAAGTGGAATGCCCCATATATAGAACTATTATAACATCTTATAAACTTCGCATAATATAATTTGTTTGAAAATGACATTAGTCAGAAAACAATATCCACGTCAAAGTAGAACCCTTCTGTAATAAGTCAGTATGTAGTTAAACTAGATATTTTCGGGATTCAACGTTTCTGTATCGTTCTCGGCTTTTATGTTTGGCAAATATAAAAAATTTCTCTACTCCTGAAATACTGCACTATGGGAAATTTGATCCTATTTTGTGTCCAAAATTCGAAAAGTTGAAGTATCAAATTAAAACTTCGCCCAGTAGTAGGACTAGAAATAGTGACCTTGCAGCACAAAAATTAAGTTGCCTCGACAACTTGTTCTAAGATTAGGGTTGCCAACCATAGTATAATATACACATGGTATTGCACTATTTTTCGGTTTGCGTTGAAAAAATACTATATTTCTTTAGTTATAAATATAAATATTTTTCTGTTACTTGTAAGGAAAAATGTGTATTAAAATTGATGACCATTGTACTTAAATAATTATCTTAAAGCAAATATTCTATAAAATAAAAGGTCATAGTGAGTTTACGAATAGAACCATAGATCAAAAAGGGGAACATTTTTAAAAATACTGAGAATGAATTACCAAATTTACTTTGAACTATCTCATTTCTACCCTCTTTTCTGCAGTATCGGGATTAACAGAAAGAGATTTTTCTATTACGGATGTGAAATGGCGAGATGAGAGAAACCAAACGACTAAAAATTGCTTTTAATTTTCCTTTTAGGTAAAATAATATAGATATTTGAATTGTACTATATTTTTCAGATTTTTTTTGAAAAAGTACTATAAATATCTTCGAAAACGTTGGCAACCGAATATAATTTCATTTGAGTATTTTATAGCATATCTATGTTTATTATTGTTATTGCGAATAAAGTACAAGTTTTATTACAATCTACTATGTATTTTCGACGCCAAGTTCTGAGTCGTCAATTATTTTTGAATAAGCTGGATTTAGTTTTTCGCTGCCTCGGCATTTTCAGTTAAAAATATATCAACTGTTCTATGCGATTTTTTCCAAATTTTAACCAACTTTTGATAGAAAATTCGGGATTTATCTCGCAAATATTTTTCAAATCTAGTTGGATTATGACTCTTGCCAAGATTTTTGAGCAAGTAGTTGTATGCGCTTTTTTTGTTCTCAATATTTCGGTCGCTTCTCCATATTTCATAAAACTCATGATTTTGTACCAAGTAGGTACCTAAGAAAAATTTTGATTTCTTTAATATCGCACAAAATCGCAGTATGAGATTATGGGGAAATAAGACTCCAAGGACTATTGTAATGATGAGCTTTTTTTAAACGTTTTTAAACATTTTTTTAAAACATTAAATACATTTTTTTTAATTGGACAATTTCCCTTCAACGTCACTTAAATGCGGACGTTTCTTTGGTACAACTATAATAAAAGTTTTAATTGGTGAATATTCTCCTAGCCGTCACTATTTCTTTTCATTTTCCACTTTTGAAAAGCAGCAAATAGATTACGAAATACACGCATTTGAAAATGGCCCATAAACATATATGTAATACTTCTATATTGGCAGTAAGGTAACTTCTCAATGTGTAAGCATTCCGAAATCAAAGCGAGACAGTCTAGTACTGTTTTTGTCAATGTATTGTGTACTTGAGTGCCGTTTTTGTATATGTGTTGTGTACATGTTTATTTATAAACGTATGGGTTCCTTTTCTTTCGTACGTGTTTATTGATATATCTGTACTGTAGTGTTTTCGGACGGTACTAGCTCTTACTGCCAATATAGGAGTACTACATATATGCCCATAAATCAAGCTACACATTTTTTGTTTACAGAAAATTTCGAAACTATCTGTTTGAGTTGCCAAGTCAATTTATCGAAAAACAGAGTTTACAGTTTTTTAGTCTGAAGTATACGCTGTAAGATAAGATAAAAAAAGTAAATTTCAAGCAAGTCACGAAATTGATTTTTGGCCACAAAATAACCTTAAATTTTCCATAGTGTACTGGTTGCTCAAAATCGCTTGGAAAAATTTGAATTATTTTTGTGATACGGCCTAATATACATATGTACGTATTACTACATAGCAATGGCTTGTATTTTGAAATCTTCAACTATCAGGTATCTCTTCACTGATCTTATCATACGAATTTTTAACACTCATTCTTCAAAAATGTTTCATATAAAAGCGTCAGAAAATTAACACAAAACAACTAAAAAGTATAATAATATAGGAGGGCCAATAGGAAATTTTTAAAATTAATATTATAAGAACACACACAAATTTCATAACCACTCCCATTAATGTGAGTTCATCACGCATTCAGGCGTAACCAACTCAACCAACAAAAAAAAAAAAAAAAAAAAAAAAAAAAAAAAAAAAAAAAAAAAAAA